TACTTTTTCCTTTGGTTATATTTAATTGTTACGCATTCAAAAAAGTACTGTTTTGATAAAAATAGAAAACTGTAGGCAGAATATTTTTCTCAATAGCTGTAGGGAGAAGATTCAAAACCCATATATATTAGTCTCTCCAAAAGCCGTACTAGTCAATATTGTTTTTAGTTAAAGAACTATTAGGCTCGTCAAGCAGGGGTACCACAGTGGTGGCCCTCCCCCTTCCCGGTTGCTTGGCACCCAGGATCGAATCCCCATGGTCTTTCCTACCAATGTAACGAAAAAAAAGAACTATTAGGCTCCATTTGGATGGAAGGATTCCAATTGATGGATTTAGATGAAATTATAAGGTAAACTTGTTTGTTTAGACGAGTAAAATTCATGTAGGTTAAGATTTGAACAAGAGAGAAATGAAGAAGATAAATGGATTTCAAATTATTCCTTACATGTAGTCAATTTCAAATCTATTTTAAAGGCACGACATCTAGTTATTCCAAATTCCTTCATTCTAATATCGTTCTTGTTTTTGCAGCAAATTTAGTATTATTCTCAAATCCAAATCCCTTCTTTTAAATCCCTCCATCCAAACGGAACATTACTTTTGCAGACTATCCAACCAAACTCGGTGGAATAGGGCAGTAGGCTGAATACTACCTTGTGTTCATTGCGTGCTTGCATGTTTACATTTTATTCCTTAAATGTGTCAAATTTTTTAAATGGTAGGTCTGAAGCTACATTTATCAACCACATCGTTGAAGAGATTGTAGTCCTAGTGCTGAACCGCACATATTTGAATGTGGCAAAGCACCCAATTGGAATTCACTCTTGTGTAAGAGCTGTGGAAATGCTTTTATGTGATGGTGGGGATGGTCGCCACATAGTTGGGATATGGGGGACATCTGGAATAGGCAAGACAACAATTGCGAAAGCTGTTTATAATGCAATTGCTCATAAGTTCGAAGGGTGTTGTTTCTTGGCAGATGTTAGAGAAAATTCAATGCCACATGGAGGCTTAATCCAACTGCAGGAGACACTTCTTCAAGAGATTCTAGGTGGCAAAAAGTTGAAAATTGTTAGTGCTGATAAAGGTATCTCTATTATACATAAATTACTAAGGCATAAAAGGATTCTCTTAATTCTTGATGATGTGAATCAATTGGAGCAATTAGACAACTTGGCTGGAGTTGGTTGGTTCGGTGAGGGTAGTAGAGTCATCATAACTACACAAGATAGCGGATTGCTAAAATGTTATGGAATTGAGTTGATATACGAGGTCCATAAGTTATATGACAATCAAGCTCTTGAGCTTTTCAGTTTGAATGCCTTCGGAAGAAATGAACCTCCAAATGATTATTTGGAACTCGCAAAACGAGCAATAGCCTATGCTCAAGGCCTTCCACTAGCTTTAACACTTTTAGGTTCTCATCTTCGTAATAAAGGTATACATCGTTGGCAAGCCATATTAGATGGTTATGAAGGAGAACCTTATACAGGTATACAGAAAATACTTCGAAAAAGTTATGATGCATTAGATAATTCAGTGCAACAAGTTTTTCTAGACATGGCGTGTTTCTTCAAGGGTGAAGATAAGGACAATGTGATGCAAATACTAAGTTCTAAGCACAAGGCTTCCCAAGATTGTATTGAAGTCCTGGTTGAGAAGGCAATGATAACTATTCAATATAATCGGATTTTGATGCATGACTTGCTAGAAAAATTGGGTAAGGATATAGTTCACGAAGAGTGCCCCATTGAGCCTGGCAAGCGTAGTAGATTGTGGTTTCATGAGGATGTCTACCGTGTTCTAACAGAAAATAGCGTAAGTATAATATATGTCCTTATATTCAATCTGAAATAGTACCTGTTGTAACCAATAATTTTCTTAACAAAATGAACTTGCATTTTGCTTTGAAGAACGACTTGGTTTCTTAATATTATTATCTTTTCATCTCAGGGAACAAGAAAAATTAAAGGCATCATGGTGAAGTTTCCCAAGCCAGATGAGATACCCTTGAATGCAAAAAGCTTCTTCGGGATGGTAAATCTTGAAATTTTCATAAACTGTAATGCAGTTCTATCTGGATATGTTGAATATCTACCCAACGAGTTGAGGTTCATTGATTGGGGTAGATGCCAGTTACAATTATTGCCATCCAATTTTCATGCAAGGCATCTTGTTGTGTTCAATATGCCATGCAGTGATATCAGACAATTGGAGGGATTTAAGGTACGCACTTCAAATTATTTTCATCTATTATTATCTCAAATATATTTCTTTGAGCTTAGTGTCATCAGGTGTTCAAAACTCCTTACATTTGGCGTGTGGTTGATCATTTCCTATTTTGTGTATTTTTCTCACAGAAATTCCCAAAGTTGACATCTATAAATTTAAGTGGTTGCCAATTCTTAGAAAAAATCGTTGACTTATCTGGAATCCCAAATTTGAAGTACTTGAATCTAAGTGAGTGTAAACGTTTGGTTGAGATCGATAGTTCTGTTGGATTCCTTGATAAACTTGTTGAATTGGATCTCAGAGAATGCTTTCAGCTTACAAGGTTTGGAACAAGACTTAGATTGAAATCCTTAGAAAGACTTTATCTGTGTGATTGTAAAAGGCTTGAGAGTTTCCCAGAAATAGAGGACAAGATGGAATCGCTAATCATTTTGGATATGGAAGGAAGTGGCATAAGAGAATTGCCTTCATCAATTGCATATCTTACTGGTCTTGAAGTATTAAAAGCTGATTATTGTGAGAACCTTTCAAATGCCTCATTACATCGTATATATGGATTGCAACGTCTCGGTGAGCTTAGTGTCAAAGGGTGTCGAAAACTCCTTACTTTTGGCAATGAGGTTAACTTTGAAGTTTCATCCAGCTACACTGAATTACAGCTGCTTTTAAATAGCTCAAATTTTTCGGATGACAACTCTATCTCATTAGCGCTTCCCAGGCTACGTTTCTTTTTTCTCGGAGGATGCAATCTATCAGAAAGTGATTTTCTCCCGCCTCTCGATTGCTGGTCCACATTAGAAGAACTTGATCTTTCCGGAAACAATTTTGTCAGTCTTCCGGAATGCATTAGCAAATTTGTCAACTTGCTCAGCCTTAGATTGTGTGGTTGCAAGAGGCTTCGGGAAATTCCAGAAGTGCTTCCACCAAAATTAACTTCAGTAACCCTGAATAGTTGCACGTCATTGGAAACATTTCCAAAACTGTCACCAGGGCTTCAGCATTTGTATTTGACTAATTGCTTTAGACTATGTGGCTGTGACATCACAGAAAACATTTTGTTGAATCAGGTTTCTCTCTCTCTCTCTCTCTCTCTCTCTCTCTCTCTCTATATATATATATATATATATATACACACGTTTTAAGTCAATGGTTGTTGTAATTATTCTAGGTATCTTCTCAGAGTTCTAAAGTCGAAATTATAGTTCCAGGAACTGAAGTTCCAAAGTGGTTTAGCTGTTGTAAAGAGGCAACAGTATTTGAAGATCCTTTTACAGATAATAAAGGGGAATACATTGCTGAATGTGAAGTTTGTTTTGAAATTCCTCCAAATTTAGAATGGGAGACGTCAAGATTGGCTCTATGTGCTGTTTTCGATCTCATGACTTATCATGGTCGTCAGTTTGGCGCCAAGACTCTCATAAATGGAAAACAGGTCAACGAGATAGAGATTTGGGCTGAGTATGGTATTAAGTTAGAGGAAACTCATGTGTGGCTCAACTGTAGTCCATTATTGGATCCGAACAATAACATGGTGGAAGGACCCACGCGGTTGCAACAGGGTAATACGTGTCAAGTTATATTTTACTACCAAGGTGCAGGACCGATTACAAGGTGTGGGGTCCACCTATTAGGCCACCAGGTTGGTGAAGTCAGTGAGACTGAGATTGGTCAGAACCGTGATAGAGGATTATTTTGGGCAAGCAATAACAGATTGTGGCTTGATCCCTTTAAACACAAGAGAAGATGAACAAAGTCCCTAGTTCGCCTGCCCTACTTTATATGGAAAATCATGTCATCATAAATCAAATCGGCCTGCAAATAATGAAGCTAGAAGGAGACATAATGCACCGGGCGAGGTTTACAGTTGGAACTTATTACACTTGGTCATTGCCATAGACCTACAAAATACAAGCAATCTACTGGGTCTTGCTTTTTAGGTAAAAAGATCAGAAATCTACTGGATCTGATCTTTTTAATCAGCTTATTGCTTCCTTTATTTTGAGATGCAATATTTAAATGGGTACCTATACCTAAATTTTCTGAAGTATAATATATTGCATATGAGAACATGAAATCTTGTTGGGCCCAAATAGTATATCATGCATATTATTGTTTGCGAACTCCTCTCTACTTTTTTTTAGGGGGGGGTCAAGAGAAGTCCTTTCTAGTTTGGGAAGGAATTTTGGTTCTTTGAATGGCACCATCGTATCATGCATGCTTTGCGTTGCTAACATAGTGGTTCAGATTATCTCATATACAATATCTCTTATGTTATGTGGTAGGCCTTTATTAAGATTGATGCTATATAAGATAAGGTAGGGGTGGATGCGGTACGGTAATCGTAAAATTTCATGTAAACTACAAACCGCCTGAGAAATTGCAGTATTGCATTATTTGACACTGCAAACTGGTGAAGAGTTGCGGTTAATCGTGACTTGCCGGAATCGCAAATCAGTGCGGTGTCCACAAAAAATCCGGTATCCACCTATTAGGCCAAAAATCAGCAAAACAAATCTCCTGCCAAATTTGAATCCATAATTTCAAAACCCAAAATTGAGCACTGAGAAGCTTTAATACCTATACAAACGCGTTCAGACTAACAAGGGGAGCAAATTTTGGTCTTAGAGCCCGGCCAAAAAGTGGCCGGAAATGGGTGAAAATGGCCAAAATACTCGGCCCAATATGGGTATTTAAATCAATCTCCAAAACTCCAAAATTAACCCAAACAAACTATATAAACAGGTAGAGCATGCTGAGGGGATGAATTTTCATACCTCACTCAACGGATTTGGCCGTCGGAATCACCAGAAAACACCCAAACACTACTACATTTTAGTCTTTGCGCGACGAAAGGGTATTCGTCGCGCAAAAATGATTTTAGTCGCACATCATTATGCGCGACAGAAGCTTCGTCGCGCACAATCCGTCGCGCAAAGTTCGTGAAGAAAGGATTTGCGCGACGAACAAATGTCATTCGTCGCGCAGTTTGCGCTACGTATAACATCTTCGTTTCAAAAAACATTTCGCGACGACCTCATTGTCCGTCGCACACATATTTGCGCGACGAAACAACCGTCGTCGCAAAAAAAACTGCGCGACGGAATTGTCCGTCGCGCGAGCTACATGAACCTTGCGCGACGACATCTTATTCGTCGCGCATAAACATCTTGCGCAACGAAATTACTCGTCGCGCAAGATTAAAATATATTTGTCGATTTGTTATTTAAATGTTTTTGCGCGACGATTTACGTTTCGTCGCGCAAAAGCAATATATATTATTAAAAAAAATTTATTATTATTTGATTTTTAATTTTGTAAAAAAATAAATTTTGTTTTTTTTTTTTAATTAAAATGAAATTACAATAAAAAAAATTAATCGTAAAGAAAACATCTATTATATAAAATAAAATAAATGTATACAAATTGTAAAAGTAATTATAAAAATAAAAAACTAATCAAATAATGTTCCGAAATCTACTTGGTCATCTGCCACATGCGGCTCGGAGGTATGGGTGTCTGCAGGGGCCGTGGTGTGCTGGGGATGCTCGGGGTGGACGGGCTCGGAGGTCGACGCACCAAAATTCGGGATTGGAATGCCGGACCGCGCGAGGGACTGCAGAATCACCGACATCTGACCCTCAAGCTCGGCAACCCGCGATGTCAAAACAGTCACCTGACTGTTTGCCTGCGCCGATGACCGCGGTCGAGGTTCCCTCTGTCGGGCATTCCCCATCCCCCTACAATACGTTCCCGGCCTCCTCCCGAGAGTCTGATCCAACGTCTGCGTCAAAATCTGAAATCCAGCATCATGCGGAGGATCCACAGACTCGATCGGAGTCTCGGGAGGAAGTTGGGAGGCGGACTCTTGAAGAACCAACTGGCTCCTCTCCACCATCGTCGTTTGTTTAACATTACATAAAATATAAATTCAAAAATGCATATAAATTGAAAGTGTAACATAAGAATTAAAAATACATAATACTTACATGAAGGGACTCGGCCAACTCATTCCCAGGTCGAACATAAACGTCACCAAAGACGTCGATCTCTGGGAATTTCGACCCCCCCTTAATTGAACAAGAGAAGAAAAATATTAGTATGAACAAAAGAAATTAATAATAATGACGTATTAAAAATTAAATATAAATTATATTATTCTTACCCGACGCCGTGCATCCATCCTATATGAGAAGGGCCTGGAGCCGGAATGGTGAAGAAGAGTCTTCTTCTTCCTATTGCCCTTATTCACTTGGGCTTTATTCTGTTATACAAAAAATAAAACGTAAGAATTGAACTATAAATAAATTAAATAATAATGAGATATAAAAAATAAAATAAACATTAAACAAATATTATTAAAAAATACCACATAATCGGGCGCCTAAAAATGAGCGCAGAGCCACGCCCAACTATCCTCCCGCCCCTCAAGCTCCTTCGGGCAACCCTCCTGAAGAGCGACTTCCGGATCATCAAACGCCTGGAAATGGTGGTGCAAGTCGCTCTTCCACTGCTTGTACCTCTCACCGAAGAGTCTGTTGACGTACGCCAAAGTCTCCTCGTTGATGTCCTCTAAGTCGTAGTTCGTCTGCAATAAATTGATTACATACATTAAGTAATAGAAATATATAAAGTTTAAAAGAAAAATAATTAAAAGATAGGAAAAATACCGACAACTGGCCGCGAACTTGCATCTTGATCTCGTCAGGTATGACCTTCCAAGACTTCCATTGCATCGGGCAATGGGTCCGAACGACGTGGCCAATGTCGTGGGCCAAGGAGCTATGCAAGTCCGCCGTTGGTGCAGCCCGATGGCGCTCGTCATATCCGATGCTGATACGACTGTTGGTCACCCGGGTGACCTTCGCCGTCTTCAGCTGCCGACACGGCCCTCGGGTGTTCCTCTTGGCTGGAAAGGGATATGACAATATTGTTACATACAATCAAATTGAACCATAAAATTCCCAATTAAAAAAATGTTTAAAAAAAAATGAAAGGGGAAGGGTATTACCTGTAGGTGCCCCCGAGGCACCAGTACAGTCAGTGGATGTGGTGTCGGTGGTGGTAGCGGGCCGGTGTCGCCGCCTAGCGCTAAGAGGCTGCACCACCGAAGAAGATGATGATGCAGCCGCCTGGGATCCCCCAGGACCAGCTAGCACGTGGTCCTGCTCCATCAGTGCTGGAGCAGTGGCAGCTGATACCGGCTGAGCCGGGGGCTCCGAACTCGGTGTAGCCGTCACCGCCCTACAACGTCTAATCAAGTCTGACATCTGCACAATTTCATTAATCCAATGTAGCACATACAATGTCAGTAAAAAATTGAACTAACTAATTAAAATCATAGTTTGACCTAGGGTTTGCGATTTCGGAGTATCCGGGACTCCGATCCACAATCCGTCGATTCCTAAACGATCCTATAAATACATGGTACCACATACGTGAGTTTCAGCTCGATCCAACGGTCCGAACATATCAAACCCTAAAATCGCACAATAGGTTCGAACCGTTCGAGACTCAAACGATAACCAAATTCCAATCCGAGCACACCTACGCGCTCGTGACAACGAAATGTTTGCACTGGGACAAAATGCCCTATGCCACAGTACCCCACGCGCCACCACACGCGCCGGCAGCGCGTGGGTGCCCTAAGCGATAACGATCCCCGGGAAATCCTACAAATTAAGGGGCAAGGTTCCTACCCTAGGTTTAAAACATCAATTTGAGGCACTTTTGTTCTCGGACCTACCCCGAAAAACGGACGGAAGTGGCCGGAATTTCAATTTCAAAACCGGTCGAAACCTAGGGTTTCAAATTGACTACCCTATGCACACAATCAATCAAATCCTACACAACCATCAGCTAGAGCATGAAAAATAGCCCAGAAAGCATACCTCAATTGCCGGATTTGGTGCCCGGAGGAGAGAGAACAACGGCGGCGGAGATTCGGCCTAAACGGAGCAATTCACGGCGGCAGGATTGACGGCCACGGCGGAGAAGCTCCTGGGTTCGACGGTGGCGGCGGCAGGGTCTGATTTGGGGCGGATTAGGGGCTGAGGTCACGGCGGAGAGAGAGGGAGGTTTTAGGGTTCCGTTTGAAAAATTGGGGAAGAAGGAGAAGATCGTGATTTTCAGAAAACTTATTCGACTTTGCGCGACGAATACAGATATCCGTCGCGCAATACTATAAAAATTTGACTTTGCGCGACTTAAAAACCTGATTTCGTCGCGCAAAGTTGTGAACAGATATACCTTGCGCGACGAAAAAACTACTGTCGTCGCGCAAACTTGTCCAGCCGCCCAAAATTTTGGGATTTGATTTTGCGCGGGAAAAATCAAAGCAATCAGATTGCGCGACGAATGCCCAATTCGTCGCGCAATCTGACTTTGCCAAAAAAAATTTCACTAAGTGCTGGAGCGGAGAGGGGAGGGAATTTTTTTTATTGATTTTGCGCGACGAATGGGTGTGTATTCGTCGCGCAAACTGGCTTTTGATAAAAAAATTTCACTAAGTGCTGGAGCGGAGAGGGGAGGGAATTTTTTTTATTGATTTTGCGCGACGAATTGGTGTATATCCGTCGCGCAAACTGGCTTTTGATAAAAAAATTTCACTAAGTGCTGGAGCGGAGAGGGGAGGGAATTTTTTTTATTGATTTTGCGCGACGAATTGGTGTATATCCGTCGCGCAAACTGGCTTTTGCCAAAACAAATTTCACCAAGTGTTGGAGCTGAGAGGGGAGCGATTTATTATTGATTTTGCGCGACGAATGCATTATTTTTGTCGCATATGGTTTGCGCGACGGGTGAGCGTAAGTTCGTCGCGCAAAACCATACCCTAGTACCCTAAACCCTAAAACCTGTACCCTAAGCCCTAAACCCGAACTCCTGAACTAGTTTCAATGATCCAACCGGCAATCTTCTTTTTTCATAGTTCAAGATCGTATACGTCAAAAATCATAATGAATGAACATTCAGAGATTGAGTAACGGGACAAAACGTTTCGACGGTTGTAAACAAATTGTCCCGATTCAACGGTGATTTTAGCTCCGATCTTGAAAATTTTTTACAGCTGCGGTTCTTGACCCTATATGAATACAGAGATGTAATTCGATCTTCAATTTCAGATATTTACAGTACAAGACATCACATAATCTTATGTTAGACTGAAGGAATGTATAAAGAAATTATTCAGTTTTTATGAATATTGTGTTTTTATGGAATACGCATTCTAGGAAACTAGTTTCAGTAATCTAGCCGTCAAATATGTTTGTTTATACTTCGAGATCTTATACGTCAAAAATGAGAAAAAAAAACATTCAGAGCTCAAGTAACGGGACAAAACGTTTCGACGGTTATAAACGAAAAGTCATGATTTAACGGTTATTTTGACTCTGATTTTGATGATTTTTTACAGCTATACTGTTTAACCCTATGTGAATACAGTGAACTACTTCGATCGTCAATTTCAACTATATACGTGTGTATAATTCAGAAATATATATATGTATATGTTTGCGCGACGAGGTCTGTTTTTCGTCGCGCTAAAGGCACTTGCGCGACGAAATTATTTGTCGCGCAAATGATAGAGTATGCGCGACGTGTACGTTATCCGTCGCGCAAAAGTTGCGCGACAATTATGCATTCGTCGCGCAAGATTATTTGCATTCACATATTATTAATCTGAAGTATTCATCATTACATATAATTAATTGTATGAAAGTATGATTTATTCTATTTTCTTTCGATTTGAGAATGGAAGGATTGTTGATAATCTTATGTTCTTTGTATTCATTTTTTCGGTTATATGGTTTTCATTTTTTAAAAGTTTTTTTTGAAAATAAATTTAAACTTTATGATACAAATTAGTTGGCTATATTTATTTACCAATGGTTTATAACTACAATTATTTTAATAATGTTTCACTTGGTATCATATATAATGTTTGGATATAACAAGTACATATATGAAAACATTTGCATTACACAAAATATGTCCACTAACATAATAAAATTACAAAAAAAATTAATCATTCATCATTTGAACTATAATAACTTTCGTTATCGTTGCTATCATCACTTTCGGTCTCCCAATCCTCTTCCTCCTCCTCCTCCGCCTCCTCTATAACTACATCATCGTCGTTGCTCGGGCCAACTGCAACATCATATCGCGGAAGATCACCCAGGTCAATTGTAATTGACTGAATCGGTATTTCGATTGAAGACACTCCTTGTATTTGAAATGGCTCTTGTATAACATTAGTATCTCGAAGTGTTTCCGCATCATTTTCCATTGAAGATTCTAAACGTTGGTCAGCTACATTGTTGACGTTGTTGTCAGTTGGGTCTAGTTCTGGTATAGCATACACGTTCCTGTGATCCATCTTTTGAACAACGTTCCAACCGCTTCCGGCTTTAGGGTCATCTAGATACACAATTTGTGTTGCCATGTTTGCCAAAATATAAGGGTCGTCATCATACCAAGTTCTGTTCATGTTCACAGATAGTAAGCCATGATCGATTTTAACACTTCCGGCCTATTTGGGTTGGTGTCAAACCATCGACACTTAAACATGATCACTTGGTATCGATCTTTGTAAAGCAATTGCACGACAGTTGTGAGTTTGCCATAGAAATCAATGTCCGTACTTTCGCCTCCACCTGGGACATGGACACCGCTGTTTTGCGTACACAACTTGTCATCTCGTGCTTCGGCCAAAAATTTGACACCGTTGACATTACAACCCGAGAACAATTCAGCGCGAATCGGGCCAAACGCCAAGTTATATAACTCATCACTGTAAGTTGGGGAATTCGATGATTTCAACTTATTCACCTAATATTATACAAAACCATTCATATGTTAATATCCATGCATTTATAAAAAAAATTTATATTTCTCAAATAACAAACACTGATAACTTACAGAATCCAAAAACCATTGTGGAAACAATTCACGGTGTTTCTGGGCAACCAAATGTGATGGATGTTCTCGCTTCATCATCTCTTCATGCTCATATAAGTATCCCATGATCTCATCACAATTGTTCAGTACGAACCAATGCGCTACCTCCATGTCATTTCTAGAAAACGACCCTCCGCGTCCAGGATCTCCGAAGGGTCGTGCGCTTTGGGCAAAAACAGAAAGTTTTTCATTTCTCATACCTCCATCATGATTGCGCTGAGGACGATTGAAAACCGTCTCCACATCTTTTAAATACATTCCGCAGAAAGTAAGCGACTCATATTGAACCCAAGCCTCTACGATTGATCCTTCGGGCTTCGCCCTGTTGCGTACACTTTTTTTCAGCTCTCCGAGAAGCCTGCCAAAATAAAACGATATGATTGAAATTAGCAAGCATGTGATAATGATGCATACACAAATGATAAGGATTATATACCTTTCTATTGGATACATCCAGCGATAGTTGACAGGACCAGCAAGTAATGCCTCTTCTGGCAAGTGAACCATCACGTGCATCATACTTGTGAAGAAAGCTGGAGGAAATATCATCTCAAACTTGCATAGGACTTGGACAATGTCATGGCGCAACTGAAACATGTCCGTTTTTCGCAAAGTTTTCGCCGTCAGTTGGGAAAAAAATCTGGACAACAAAATGATTGGCTTCACTACATCTTCCGGCAATAGGTGTCGAATACCAACAGGAAGTAGGCGTTGCATAAACACATGGCAGTCATGGCTTTTAAGTCCAGTAAATTTACCCCCGTCAACATTCACACAACGTGCGATATTAGAAGCATACCCATTGGGAAACTTTACTGACGATACAAACTTTAGAAACTCTTTCTTGTCATTCGGTTTCATAGAAAAGAATGCAAGATCCCTTCTAGCTTTATCATTGTCCCTATTCATCCATAAACCCCTTCGTATGCCCATTCTTTCCAAATCAAGACGAGCTTTGATCGTGTCCTTTGTCTTCCCCTCGATATCTAGAATCGTGCCCACCAATGTGTCGAATACATTTTTCTCAACATGCATCACATCTAGATTGTGCCTCAATTTTAGTTTCGACCAATATGGGAGCTCAAAAAACATAGGTTTGTGCGTCCAGTTCATATGTGTAGAAGGTCTGATACGACTAACTGTTTTCCCGAAGGGAGCAAAATCCAACCGGTTAAGCTGGTCCAATATCTCATCACCGGACCATTCTCTGGGTCTAAGGCGACGCTCAGTGTTCCCGTCGAACTCTTTATCTTTTTCCCTCCACTCATGGTCCCATGGCAACCATCTCCGATGACCAAGGTAACAAACTTTT